CCCCCCCCCCCCGGCCCGCCCGCCCCCGCCGCTCCCGCCGCCCGCTCTCCGCCCTCCCCGCGCTCCCTGCCCGCCCTCCCCGCGCCCGCCCCGGCCGCGGCCATCACGCGAGGCCGGGGATGCGCGGCCTACCCCGGACCGGCGGGAGGACGGCGGGAAGGGGAAGGGCGGCGGGACAGGGAAAGGGCAGGGGCAAAAGAACGGGAATGGGAAGGGGAACGGGAAGGGGAAGGGGAACGGGAAGGGGCAGCGGCCCGGCTGCCGGCGGTCGCGCGGTGCCGGCGGGCCCGAGGCCGCGGAGGGCCCGCGCTTACTCCGGCGTGGGGTGCTCCGGGTCGTAGAAATCCCCCATGGTGGGTGGGCGGGCGCGGGGCTCCGCAAGTGCCCCCTGGCCGGGGAGGCCCCGCTCGCCCCGTCGGGGCTCCTCACATGGTCCGGCGGGGCCCCCCCGCCACCCGCGCCCAGCCCGGCCCGGCCCCGATCTCCTCCAGGTCAGCCCTGCACCTCCAGGATCTCCTCCAGGTCAGCACTACGCCTCCAGGATCTCCTCCAGGTCAGCCCTGCACCCCCAGGATCTCCTCCAGGTCAGCCCTGCACCTCCAGGATCTCCTCTAGGTCAGGATTGCACCATCAGCATCTCCTCCAGGTCAGCCCTGCACCTCCAGGATCCCCTCCAGGTCAGCCCTGCACCTCCAGAATCTCCTCCAGGTCAGCCCTGCACCACCAGCAGCTCCACGGGATCACGCCTGGGTCACTCCCGGGATCAGCCATGGGATCACTAAATCTTCCCAGGACCACCAGGACCGTACCAGGCTCACCCTGGGATCACCAGGGCCACACCAGGTTCTGCCATGCTATTCCCGGCATCTCACCAGGATTCCCCTGGGGCCACACCACAACTGGCTGCAGGATGTCCTTGGGATCACCCCTGGGATCCTCAGGATCTCATCAGGAACAGATGGGAGATCACCAGGGCCACACCTGGGTGAGCTGCAGGACTGCCAGGATCACCAGGGCTACACCTGGATCACTCATGGGACAGGCAGGATCTTCCCAGGATCTCTCAGCATCACACTGGGATCACCCCCAGGATCACAGAGATCTCCCCAGGACCACACCAGGATCAGCAGCACCCCCAGGATCACCCCCAAGATCACACCTGGACGCCAGCACCCCTTGGCACCAAATCCCTGGGGCTGTTCCAAGCCCCATTTGCCCTAAAAATCACTAAAACTCCTTTTTTTTTTTTCCTTTTACAGGTCATTTCCCATCTTCCCAATCCCTAGGAGAGCTCCTCAATGGAATGGTGCCAGAGCAGTTCAGGAGACCCAGCTGCTCTGGGATACCTGTTCACATGGAATCCTCCAAACCACATTTACAGCTTCCAATATTGAGATTTCTGGGATTTTCCCAGATTTGGGATCATGGTGTGGGCAGGAGGGACCCACAGGGATGAGGTGGGAAGCAGAGAAGGGGTGAATATAGGGAAGATATTGAGATTTCTGGGATTTTCCCAGATTTGGGATCATGGTGTGGGCAGGAGGGACCCACAGGGATGAGGTGGGAAGCAGAGAAGGGGTGAATATAGGGAAGATATTGAGATTTCTGGGATTTTCCCAGATTTGGGAGCATGGTGTGGGCAGGAGGGACCCACAGGGATGAGGTGGGAAGCAGAGAAGGGGTGAATACCTGTGGATGTGGTACGTGGGGCATGGTCAGGGTTGGTGGTGCTGAGGTGCATTGGCAGTGCTGAGGATCTTGGAGGGCTTTTCCAACCAAAACCATTCCGTGACTCCCCAGAAATGAATCTTTGTTTCATTCCCTCTCCAGGCAGATCCAACAGGCCAAGCCATGACTTGTTGCTCCAATGGGAACAAGCCCAGGAGAGCTGCAGCTCCAGCACCAGGAAAGAGGGAATCAGGAGCAGCCTGGGTTACCCACAGCGACCTCTGTGCTGTGATCCTGCCTTTTCCAGAGGCTCAGGAAAACAAGTGGTGCAGTTGGAAGTGCCTGGCTCGTGTCCTGTCCAAACAGCGGCATCGATTCCCAGTAACTCCCTGCCTGCCCAAAGGTTGGGTGGTTCACTTTTCCTGCTGTTTATTTTTATAAATCAATGGTGGACACGATCAGGAGGCGCTTCCTGAGGTGGCATTCCTTGGGGAATGCTGGGATCCAGGCTATGTGATGGGCAGGAAGGACAGGGCTTTCTTCTTCTCAGCAGCCGGGACCAGTCCGGGTTTCCTGTGCATTTTCCGGAGCTCCGCCATGGTGCCGTTGAAGGTTTGCTGGGAACAGGGAACACAAAGGGATCACTGAGCTCAGCTCGGCTCTCAGAGCACAGTTCTCACCTGTAAAAACTTTTTTCCTGAAAAATAAAACCAAATGCCTTCTCAGACTTTCCCAGTGGTGCTGGGAAGAGCTGGGAGATTCCCCATCACACCAGCATTGCTCTGCTGAGAGCAGATCCCAGCAGGCTCCAAGGAGGGGACAGGAATCCCTAGGAAATTCTCCAGAGCAATGAAAAGATGTTTGAGATGTTTTCATGGAATCCCAGAATTATTTCAGTTGAGAAGGACCTTAAGGCTTATCTCAGTAAGGTGAGACAGAGACACCTTCCACTATTCCAGGCTGCTCCAAGCTCCATGCAACCTGGCCTTGGGCACTTCCAGGGATCCAGGGGCAGCCACAGCTGCTCTGGGAATTTCATTCCACTCTCTCCACCCTCCTAGCCAGGAGTTCCTTCCCAATATCCCATCCATCCCTGCCCTCTAGCTGTGGGAAGCCATTCCCTGTGTCCTGCCCCTCCGTCCCTTGTCCCTCTCCAGCTCCTTAGGGCCTGGAAGGGCTCTGAGGTCTCTCTGGAGCCTTCTCCAGGTGAACATTCCCATCTCTCTGTGGGTGAATTTGTTCTGCCCAGGTTGGACAGGGCTTGGAGCACCCTGGGATAGTGGAAGGTGTCTCTGCCCATGGCAGGGGCTGGGACTGGATGATCCTGAAGGTCCCTTTCATCCCAGTCCATTCTGGGATTCTCCCTGGGGTTACCTTTTGATCTGTCTTCATCCTGGCCCTGTAGAAGGACACAGAGCCCGGGCAGTCTGGCAGCGCTGTCTCCTGCACCCACTCAAACTTGTCCTGCACGTCTTCATCCTGCCAGGGAAAAGCATTCCATGTGCAAAGCACACACCTGCACACCTGGGACATCCATCCCTTTTGTGGCACCAAACACCAGGTCAGCCAGAACACCCTGGAAGTGAGAGGTTCCCCTTTCCACACCTTGGGAGGAGCAGCTTTGGGCAGGGCTTTGAGCAAAAACCTGCGAGGGTTGGGATTTTCCCACAGGAAAAGTGAACATTCCCAGCTCCCCCAGCCTGGCTCCAGCCCTGCAGCAGCTCCAGGGCCTCCTCTGGATCTCTCCAGCAGCTCCAGGTCCTTGTGCTGTTGGATCTGGGGCAGCTCTGCAGGTGGGGTCTCACCTGAGGTGCAGAATTCCCCCTTCTGGTCACACTTTTTTAGATGCATGGGGAGCTGAACAGAAATGTGCTTTTCAGGATGAGAAAAGACCCAGGCCCCCACAGTGGCTCCTGCCACAGGACTGGTACTGAGCAGTGCCACAAGAGTTTGGCTGCAAATCTGTGATCCCACAGGCTGGGAATCCAAACACCCCTGCACCCCCAGGCACTTTGCCCAGTTCCTGTTGTTCCACAGATGCCAGGTGCCTCAGTCACTGTCCTGATTTAGTCCCTGAACAGTGAAGGGAATGTGACAGCAGGATATGGCTCCAGACATTCCCTTTGTGCCTCATTCCTTCTCCTCCTTTTTCTCCTCCTCCTTCCACAGGCTCCCTCATTCCCTCAGCACCCCACACATGGCTCCTGAGGAGAATCAGCAGAACTCTGGGATAACTCACCAGGCACATGACTCTGTTCATGGGAATCATTCCAGGTCTGATGTTCCCACCAGGCTCCAGAGCTTCCTTCATGTCTTTAGGGAGACGGAAGTTTTCGTTGTACCAGATATCAAACTCTGCAAAGCAAAGAGGGGCAATTAATGGGCTGTAATTAATGACCTAAAAGACAGCATGGATTGCTTGTTCCTATGGATCAGGCAGGATCTCAGTGCTCTTAAACCCTCAGACAGGAAGCTCAGAACTCAGGATTTGGAGTTTCAATGATTGGAAAAGTGAATTTAAGGAGGCTGTTGGCTGTGCTGAGGTGGCCAGGAGGTGGTGGCCAGCTCTGGGGACAGTCCCCTGGCCATGAGAAGGCACCACTCCTGCAGCCCCCAGAATCCCTTTGGAATGGGCAGCACGGCTGGGGCTCGCATTTCAATCCCACACACTCAAGCACAGCCATTTGCCATCCCATAATAGGCAGTGAGAACACACAGCAGGTGGGAATTATGTCCTTATAAATCCTGGGCATTTCCCAGGCACTCCACTCCTGATCTGGGTGAATCCTGGATGTTTGAACAAACAGCAAACATCTGGAGCACCCAAAAATGCCAAACGCAGATCCAACAGGAAGCAGTGGCACAGTTGTGATTGGGTCCTCTTTATCCCTGGAATGATGGGAATGATTATCCCATTTCTTCCTGCGTGGGATGCTCTGATGGATCCAAGCTGTCCCCTGGCAAATGTTGCCACGTGCACAGCATCCAAAATGTTTGGGGCTCTGGAATTCCTACAGGGACTGGATTCCCTTAGAGGGGCAAATCCAGGGATACAGCAGGGGCAGTTTGAACCCACAGATTTCAAAGTGGAATTTGCAGGGATTTCCCAGGCAGAGCTGTGGCCAAGCTCCTTTTCCTGATAAAGCTGCAGCTCTGGAAGTTGGAAATCACATAGGGACAGAGGAAATATTTGGAATCCAGAGGCAAAGCCCTGTCCCAGGGCAATTCCTTAACCACCACCTCTATTAAATAAAATCAAGGATGAGATCCGGGGTCAGCAGTGTGGGAATTCCTTGTGGGAATTCCTTGTGGGAATTTTTCCCCCATGTAGGGGTGGGACCAAGGAGTAGAGGGACATTATCTGGAAGAGAGGATCTGCAGCAATTCAAGGTTAGGTCAGGAAACCCCACCTGATTATGGATAAAATCCAGTCTGGAAGGCAACAGGACAAAGGACAACAGAGAATGGAAATTTGGCAGGGGGCTGGAGGGACAGGACACAGGGAATGGCTCCCACTGCCAGAGGGCAGGGATGGATGGGATCTTGGGAAGGAATTCCTGGCTGGGAGGGTGGGCAGGTCCTGGCTCAGGTGCCCAGAGCAGCTGTGGCTGCCCCTGAATCCCTGAAGTGTCCAAGGCCAGGCTGGACAGGGCTGGGAGCAGCCTGGGACAGTGGGAAGGGATTGGAACTGGATAAGCTTTAAGGTCCCTTCCCACCCAAACCATTCTGGGATCCCATGAAGTTTGGGAGTGCTCCAGTCTGGATTTATCCCTGCTGAGCTGGAGGCTGCTGAGCCCTGGTGCTCTGTACCTGAGATGAGCCTTCTCCTGCACTTATCCACGAGGTGCTGGCAGTACTGCATCTCTGCCTTCAGGTCCTGCAGCTCAGTAAAGCCAGCCCTGTGCTCCTCCTTCAGCTCCTTCAGCTTCACAATGAGGGAGAACTCCTTCTCATCGATGATCACGTGTCCTTTCCCATCCGTGTATTCTCCTGGAGAGGGAGAAAAGGAAGGGAAGGTTCTGCTGAGGGTGGAGAGCAGGGACAGGGCTCTGCAGATGTCACACCTGATGGAGGGTCTGACTTGGCTGCCAGGGGAAAAATCCCTGGGATTGCTTAGATGGGATATTGGGAAGGAATTCCTGGCTGGGAGGGTTGGGAGGCACAGGCTGCCCAGGGAAGCTGTGGCTGCTCCTGGATCCCTGGCAGTGCCCAAGGCCAGGCTGGATTTGGTTTGGAGCAATCTGGGACAGTGGGAGGTGTCCCTACCATGGCAGGGGTGGAGTGGGATGATCCTTAACATCCCTTCCAACCCAAACCATTCTGGAGTTCTGTGACCACCCAAAACTTCTCTGGAACCTGGAAATCACATAGGGAGAGAGGAAATAGGGAATCCAGAGGCAAAGCCCTATCCCAGGCCAATTCCTTAACCACCACCTCTATTAAATTAAATCAAATCAAATCAAACCAAATCAAATCAAATCAAATCAAGGATGAGACCTCGAAGCCCAGAGCTCCATCCCCTGTCCCGTGCTGCCTCCTCACCCTCCTGCCTCCGCTTCTTCTTCTGAGCCTCCAGAGCCTCCTTGATTGCCTCAATCTGCTCCTTGAGGCCATTGATCTTCCGTGCCACAGAGTGGATTCCCTTCTTCCTGGCAATGAGGATTCTCTTGGGATGATCCTTAACATCCCTTCCAACCCAAACCATTCTGGAGTTCTGTGACCACCCAAAACTGCTCTGGAACCTGGAAATCACATAGGGACAAAGGAAATATTGGGAATCCAGAGGCAAAGCCCTGTCCCAGGCCAATTCCTTAACCACCACCTCTATTAAATTAAATCAAATCAAATCAAGGATGAGACCTCGAAGCCCAGAGCTCCATCTCTGGAACCTGGAAATCACATAGGGAGAGAGGAAATAGGGAATCCAGAGGCAAAGCCCTATCCCAGGCCAATTCCTTAACCACCACCTCTATTAAATTAAATCAAATCAAATCAAGGATGAGACCTCGAAGCCCAGAGCTCCATCCCCTGTCCCGTGCTGCCTCCTCACCCTCCTGCCTCCGCTTCTTCTTCTGAGCCTCCAGAGCCTCCTTGATTGCCTCAATCTGCTCCTTGAGGCCATTGATCTTCCGTGCCACAGAGTGGATTCCCTTCTTCCTGGCAATGAGGATTCTCTTGTTCTCCCTGAAGATCCGGTGGATCTCCTGTCCAGTCTCCTTCTTAAACACCTCAAAGGCCTTTTCCTTGGACAGAGAGGGCCTGAAAGCAGACACAGACACAGGAGCTCACTCTGTCCTGCCCTGCAGCGTGCAGGGAATGATTCAGGCTGGAAAAGCTCCCCAAGATTGAGTCTAAGCATCCCCCAGCACTGCCAAGGCCACCACTGACCATGTCCCCAAGTGCCACATCCATATGGATGTCACATCCCTCCAGGGATGGGGAACCACCACTGTCCTGGGCAGCTGGGCCACATCTGGACAGCCCCTTCCAGGAGGAACATCCCCAATTTCCACCCTGAGCCTGCCCTGGCCCAGCCTGAGGCCGTTCCCTCTGCTCCTGTCCCTGTTCCCTGGAGCACAGCCCGACCCCCGGCTGTCCCCTCCTGGCAGGAGCTGTGCAGAGCCACAAGGTCCCCCCTGAGCCCCCTTTTCTCCAGGCTGAGTCCCTTCCCAGCTCACTCAGCCCCTCCTGGGGCTCCAGACCCTTCCCAGCTCCACTCCCTGGA